TGATAGAAGAATGGTTTTCTTTTCGTCTTTAATTTGGAAAAAATTAAGCTAATGCGTAGCCATTACTCGCCTAAACTCATGCTAATTGTGTTCCTTCTATTTCAACGTGTGAGAGAAGGTTTGTGCGGCTAAGAAGTTAAGATTTTGACCAAGAATTGCAGCTATTACTCCATGAAGATTATTGTCAAACTTAACATAAGGTTGTCAAATCATTGGGGATTAATCTGGCAGGAATTTCTAAACGTTTGCGAGCAGCGTGATTGAGATAAGTTATGTACCACACAAATTGAGCCCAAAAGTACTCGAACTGAAAGATTTTGCATGTCCGAAATGATGCTTGAACGCTACAAAAGAAGTTGAAAAGAAAGTGAATCCCTTACGATAACATGAAACGTATATGATCATATGAGAAGTACGAACAACTAACCGAATCGATAACAAAGCCACATTCCCAACACAGCCATCTCCTCGTACCGGAATGACCCGAAGTCATCGGCCAAGGGCTATCAACTCCAGCAACAACAATACAGCAAAGCCTAATATTCATAGCAATGGTTATGGTTATATTACTAGTCACATTACACATCACTGAGGGCAAGGAACTGAATATTACATACAACAAATTCACGTGAAGTGAGCATTGACCAAAGAATGCTTCGAATATGCGGCCAGACATGAAAGCGAATTATTCCATCATGAAAAAAAAATCGACCACTTGTTGAAATAAGTGAATTTTGTCCCGTTCGACTACTATGTGTTTTGATTGACTCAGAATGTTTACCCTCTCTCTCATGAAAGCGTTATATTCTATCATAAAAACAATTGACCACATGTTGAAAAAAGTGAATTTTGTCCCGTTCGACTACTATGTGTTTCGATCTAATCAGAATGTTTTCCCTCTCTCTCTGGGCGCCAATATTATTCGCTTGGTCGTCTGCTAGTCTAACGGTATTAACTTTTGATATATTGAAGATAATGATCAGTTGCCAACGTAATAATAAAATTAACATATCTCCGCAACTTTTCTTCTAACAGTTATAAAAATTGGCAAAAAAATATTTCAATGCCTTTTAGCTAATTTCCGATACTTATCGCTTTGGCTGTTGCTTTTATTTGGTTGTTGACACGCCATTGCGTTTACCATTTACAAAACACAAACATACGAATGCTCTTTTCCCAGCAATTCGTGGTGACTTCTCCTCAGTAGTGATTTAGACATCAGGAAGTCAAACATTCTATTGACTACTAGCAAAACTATTGGGTTAATACCGATTTACATTACAGTTACACTTAAAAGCAAGAAAGCAAACAAATTCACTTGAATTTTCTTTCTATTGCTTAAGCAAATCATTTCATTCATATGCAAAACATTTCATGCTTTAATACTTTTGTGTTTGATTTGTATTAAGGTGTAATAGGTGTATGTGTGTGAGTGTATTTTTAGGGAAATATTCTATTAGCAGGAACACATTTGATTTGTTGTTTTTTTTTGTTTCCTTTGTGGTCGTTAAAGCGTTGTTCGTGTCATTTTCTTTGATTCTTTTTCTCCATTTTTTGTGTTATTCGCCTTCTCCGTTACTTAACGGTGTTAAGAAAAATTGCCCACTTTAACGGTTTATTTATGCACGTTTAGTAGCGTGGTTGGAGTTTTGTATGTTTGAGTGTGGGAGTTTGTTATTTAATGCAAATAACAAATTTATGCATTTCCGTTTCCGTATTTACTGCCATCATACACTTGTTTGCTCTCTCAATATGTATTCGTACGTGTTTGCTTTACTAAGTTTATTTATTATTCTTTCCTTCGTTTTTTTTTCTTTAGACAAGTAAAAGATTTTTGCAGCTCCTTTGACAATTATTTGATTGTTATCGTTAAAGTTTTTCATTATTTAATACATATTTTTTCGTAATAAATTTTGACGAATTTGTTGATAGTGGGCGTAAAAGGTGGTGGAAATTTAAGAAGTAAATTTAGCTTAAGGTAGACGGAATAAGTGTATTAAAATCTCAAACGAAAAGATTTTTGCAAAATGTTTTGTATAGAAAAATTTAAAATTTTTGTATGGAAATTACAAATAGGAGGAGGGGAAGTGAAGAAGATCTGAAGGAAAACAATATGTCTTTATTGTGACTGCTTTACATTTCTTTAGTTAGTTAGTTAGATAGTTAGAAAGTTAGTTAGTTAGTATTGTAGTTAGTTAGTTAGTTAGTTAGTAGTTAGTTAGTTAGTTAGTTAGTTAGTTAGTTAGTAGTTAGTTAGTTAGTTAGTTAGTAGTAGTTAGTTAGTTAGTTAGTTAGTAGTAGTTTAGTTAGTTAGTAGTTAGTTAGTTAGTTAGTTAGTTAGTTAGTTAGTTAGTTTAGTTAGTTAGTTAGTTAGTTAGTTAGTTAGTTAGTTAGTTAGTTAGTTAGTAGTTAGTTAGTTAGTTAGTTAGTTAGTAGTTAGTTAGTTAGTAGTTAGTTAGTTAGTTAGTTAGTAGTTAGTTAGTTAGTTAGTTAGTTAGTAGTTAGTTAGTTAGTTAGTTAGTTAGTTAGTTAGTTAGTTAGTTAGTTAGTTAGTTAGTGTTAGTTAGTTAGTTAGTTAGTTAGTTAGTTAGTTAGTAGTTAGTTAGTGTTAGTTAGTTAGTAGTTAGTTAGTTAGTTAGTTAGTAGTTAGTAGTTAGTTAGTTAGTTAGTAGTAGTTAGTTAGTTAGTTAGTTAGTTAGTAGTTAGTTAGTTAGTTAGTTAGTTAGTTAGTTAGTTAGTTAGTTAGTTAGTTAGTTAGTTAGTTAGTTAGTTAGTTAGTTAGTTAGTTAGTTAGTTAGTTAGTTAGTTAGTTAGTTAGTTAGTTAGTTAGTAGTTAGTTAGTTAGTTAGTTAGTTAGTTAGTTAGTTAGTTAGTTAGTTAGTTAGTTAGTTAGTTAGTTAGTTAGTAGTTAGTTAGTAGTTAGTTAGTTAGTAGTTAGTTAGTTAGTTAGTTAGTTAGTAGTTAGTTAGTTAGTTAGTTAGTTAGTTAGTTAGTTAGTTAGTTAGTTAGTTAGTTAGTTAGTAGTTAGTAGTTAGTTAGTTAGTGTAGTTAGTTAGTTAGGTTAGTTAGTTAGTTAGTTAGTTAGTTAGTTAGGTTAGTTAGTTAGTTAGTAGTTAGTTAGTTAGTTAGTTAGGTAGTTAGTTAGTTAGTTAGTAGTTAGTTAGTTAGTTAGTTAGTTAGTTAGTAGTAGTTAGTTAGTTAGTTAGTTAGTTAGTTAGTAGTTAGTTAGTTAGTTAGTAGTAGTAGTTAGTAGTTAGTAGTAGTTAGTTAGTTAGTTAGTAGTTAGTTAGTTAGTTAGTTAGTTAGTCGTAGTTAGTTAGTTAGTTAGTTAGTTAGTTAGGTAGTTAGTTAGTTAGTTAGTTAGTTAGTTAGTTAGTTAGTTAGTTAGTTAGTTAGTTAGTAGTTAGTAGTTAGTTAGTTAGTTAGTTAGTTATTAGTTAGTTAGTTAGTTAGTTAGGTTAGTTAGTAGTTAGTTAGTTAGTTAGTTAGTTAGTTAGTTAGTCGTTAGTTAGTTAGTTAGTTAGTTAGTTAGTTAGTTAGTAGTTAGTTAGTTAGTTATTAGTTAGTTAGTTAGTTAGTTAGTTAGTTAGTTAGTTAGTTAGTTAGTTAGTAGTTAGTTAGTTAGTTAGTTAGTTAGTTAGTTAGTAGTTAGTTGTTGTTGTAGTTGTTGTTTGTTTGTTTGTTTGTGCGGTTAGTTCGTTGGTAGTTTGTCGGTTAGTCGTTGGTTAGTTTGATCATTCACCATAGATCAGTTTGAAGTATTTTGTTTATAGATCACTCTTTGGACTTTTGACTTGATCCGATTGTTGTTGTATTCTATGTTATGTCTTCAAAACTATTTTAATTTCATCCATATAAAAGAAAGCTCTTTTTCAAAGTTCCTTTCCATTTATATCCGACTGTATCAAACTGACTTTAATTAAATCTTCTAAATTTGTTTACATAATCATACATTTATTAATGCTCATAAATACAACTACAAACATAATGATAAAACGAAAAGAAATTTAATTTTCAAAATTAATTTTAATCACTTACCAAGTGAACATTTTAAGATAAATCCTACAGAAAAGTAACAAGTAAACGGAAATTAACAAAGATTTTCACTAAACAAAAGATTTTCTTAGCAGCAAAAAATTTCATGAAAAACATGACGAACTTTTCAGTTGTGCTTCCCTTTGCATTACAACGGTGAACAAATACAAAAGACCAAATTAAAAAGAGGGGAAATGATGCCACAAAATGAACCCAAAAAACGAAGGTCCTTCAACGAAGGGGTACGAATAGAAACGAGCGAAAGAAAAACGATTTAAAACGAAGTTCACAAGTTGAAAGCTTTTTTCAACCTTCTATAGCTGTAACATTACAACGAAAGTTTGGGACAATTAAATGTTAAAAACAGCAACAGCTTTTTGGGACATTTTAGGCATAAAAGAGTGAAGAGAAATGGCAAATGAGTGTAATAGCGAGAGTTCTTTTTAGACAGGAAATTGCGCAGCATCTTGTGCTCTAAAGCTTTTTCATTGAGACTGTGTTATAGAACTAGAAAAAACAAAGAGAAAATGAATTAGAAATGAATTCTGGCGAGAGTCTGTTCATTCCTTAGGATGCTGCATGTAGACAGATGAACTCATTTTATAGAGGAGTCTGCAGGAGAGGTTATGCTCTAACTACAATGAGCCCTTTTTATTTGCTGCAACCCTTAAAATGCATTTTTTGTGAGTTGAAGTTTTTTTCCCCCATTTTTTTTTACAATTTCGTCTTTAGTTCATTTTTGCAAATCTAATGTGTGTAAGTGAAGTTTTACACCTTTTTTTGTTGCTACAATATTTTTTTGCTCATATTTTGCTTTTGCAATATATATATTTCTTTTTTATTTGTGTTTTTTTTTTATTTTTTGCATATCCCCACCCGGAAAATTCATCGCTTGCGCTTGTGGACCGGTATAAAAACCCCTCGCACAACTAAACCATTCTCATAAGTTTACCAACCATACGTCGTTCAGTTAGTTTTGTGTATTTTCGAATTTCAGACGCAAAAAGATTTTGAAAGAAAATTGAAAGAAATTTGTTTAAAAAAAAAGAAAAGAAAAACAAGCAGAATCTAACGTCTCTTAAGGCTGGAAATTCTAAAATCAAATACTTACTTAGAAATGTACTACTTAGTGTGAACAGTGTTGCCAATTAAGAAAAAATTTGAAAAAAAGTGTTTGAAATTTTAAACGTGTTTTTTTAAATAAAAGTGTATTAAACAATTAAATTCAAGTGTATTTTTTCAACTAAAAATTAATTGTTAATAAATAAATTTAATTTAACAGTTAAAGACTATAATTAAGAAACTATGCTGACACTATGGCGGTTTTTTTAAGACAAAAATATAAATGGTAATTAAGCGGTTTTTAATTTAGAATCCATATATTTATATTTAAATGCTTATTTGTTTAAAAATTTTAATAAATTTTTAAAAATAATTTGAGAAAAAAAATTATTTTTAAAATTAAATAAAATTAAATTTCAATATATTTTTTTAAAAATTTATAAATTTTCCGAATTTTTGTGAAATTTTTTGGCGCGAATGCTTGAAATCAATTAATGATTGTTCTTAAAAGTTTATCGAGAAAAAATTAATTAAAATTTAAATTTTTTTATTAATAAAATTTGTCAAATTTTGTAAATAATTTTACTAAGTTTTGCCTGATTTAATAATTCAGGCGATCAGCCAATTGAACCCTATTAAGGGTTTTATTTTCAATCATTTAGTCGGTTTTTAAAATTTTAGTATAAATTTTCCTATTGAAGGTATTGTTAGCTAAAGAACCAGTTACATCACTACTTCTGCTAGCATTCTCTCAACATGAGTCAAATACATTTGTAACAAATAAGAGTATAGATGATCGTGCACGACCATATGATACTTTACACGAGTTATTAAATGCGACTTTGTATGGAAGCTAGGGTCAAATAAGGCCTGATTATTACGAAATTTGACAAGGCTATCCAGGCCTGTATATAGTTATCTTAGTTGTGCCAGTTTCCATCGAAATACAAGTATATTTAACATCATTTTTTTTTTTGCTGAAAAGCCCTTTTCCGGGGGTTCAGTTCTATGGGGGCTAGGTTAAATAATGTACCGATTTTAAGAATTTTCAATATGCTTCGTCTTTGGGAAGATATGTGCCAAATTTTATCAAATTAGCTTGAAAATTGTGACCTGTACCTTGGGCACAAGCTTTACATGTACAGCCATCAAGGCGGACGGACAGACGGACATGTCTTAATCGACTCAGAAAATGAATCTAAACCGATTAAGCTGGGTATAGGATGAATATATTTGTGCGTTACAAACATCACCACAAACCCAGTTATAGATTTTTAACAAAATAAGTAGGTTTTATTATTGAGTTATGGAAGATGATTCATTCTTAGTGATTCTGGTAATTATTGATCCTATCCTTTCGGTTTATTGCTTTATTAGATTTATGCTAAATTATATTATTATATATCGACATTAATATGAAAGCTTAGAGAATTCTTTGAAAGTACTTGGACTAAACTTTACAGTATTTGAGAAATTGATTAACTTGAATTTAACAGAACATATATAATACCGTACAACAATTTATTTACAATAAACTGATCTTCATTAAGGGTTTCTACAAATATCGAGAGTTGGGTCAACTATGGATGAATCGTCTTTAAATTTATAAGACAGATTTTGGTTCTAATACAATTTGCTTAGATCGAATTTCATCTAAACACTTACATATTATATGAATGTTATAATAATAAAGGATGACAAACTTTTAGATCAGAGGCCAAATCCAAATCTGGCCTCAGAATTTCATCATTATATCTGTGATTCAAGATATCGTGCCTAGAAATTTGAAAATATGCAAATTTTGGCCCTTTTTTCGAAACTTATAACAGCGACAAGGCAAGTTCATTTACAAGATATTGTATGCCATCCGATAGTACTTTTTGTCAGCTTTAAAATAAAGATCTGACATATCTTCTTTGTGCTTCGAGATATCATCTCATTGACACAACAATAAATTGACAAAAACTGATTCTTTTCGTACATTTCGCCTATATTTTATGAAAAACTTAATTTTTAACAATTTTGTCTATAAAAATATTTTTGAATTGTGCTTCGAGATATCATCTCATAAAGCTTGATACAACAATAAATTGACAAAAACTGATTCTTTTCGTACATTTCGCCTATATTTTATGAAAAACTTAATTTTTAACAATTTTGTCTATAAATTTTTTGGTAATTAAATTTTTTGGTAATTAACATTTTTTGTCTGAAAAAGTCAGAATTTTGAAATCAGTTACACAGAGAGAATAAAAATATACACACCTGGTACCGAATTGACACCAAACAAATGTTTTAAGCTCAAAATCCGTTGTCAATAGTGAGCTTACCACGTTTGTTAACTTTAAGACAACGGATGTGCATAAAATTTAGATTTAGACAACGAATTGTTGCATTGTTGACAACGTTGCTTTACATGTTGTTATTGTATGTATGTATGTACTTGACAACTTTGGTGTCAATTAGGCGTGTATATATTTTTTCTCTTTGTGTACGAGTAAATTTCTAATCAAGACCATTTTGGGATTAATTCAATCCTTTACATACATAAATCAATCATATTTTTTATTTCAAATTAAAGTATGCAGTTGAGCTTAAATCACTTCGAAAATTCTCAAAAATAGTACTTTGTATGTTCACTTTGACTCAAAAAAAAAAAAAAAGGCTTAAATTAGTTTTTTATACTTAACGTATCCGTTCTTGAATCAAGAACTACTTTTGAAACGGTTTCGGATTGATTTAAGTTCGAATTACTTACTTGTTTTTAGATTAATCCACATCAATTATAGTTGATGAATTTGAGCTTAAATCAAACCGAAAATTCTCAAACTGAGTACATTGTAAGATCACTTTGAGTCGAAAAAGGGACAAATTATGTTTTTTTTTGTAATTAACGGATCCGTACTTGAATGAAATATTTAGTACTTGGTAAAAGGTAAACCGTAGTTATACTACTTTTGATACCACTTCAGATAGATCCTAGTACGGATTACTCAATTCCTTTTGAATGTTAAATTGGTTAACAATTTAATTTTAATTTAAGGAAAAGAGAAACAATTATATATCGGGGTTTTCAGCAGGAACAACGGAATTTGTTTTTGGACATTGCTCGAATCAATTGGTTTATACATTTAAGCTACGTTGAGAATGCTAGAGTACTGCACTCTGGAGTAAGTTACATGCTTACGCCAAAAATTTCTTTCAACAAAACTGTCCAACATGACGGACGTTTGATTGAACAACTTTAGACTTTTTTCTATATAAGTTTCTGATCTATGCTAAAGCTAGAAGAGCTTCAGATGAACATATTAATCGAAATTCTTAGTATTTCAGCCGATATTTGTGTTTAAGTCATAGAAAATCGGAAACGTCATATTTATTCGTTCAAACTCTCTACTCATTTGGAATACAAATCTTAAAGCAATAAAAGAGGCTTTGAACAGAGTATTTTAGGTAACAATTGTTAAGATTTTGAGATCAGTGATTTCACTTTTTTGAAAACGACCAGATATCTTCAAGGGAAGCAATTCCAATATATCATCAACTTTAATTTACTTTTATATCGCCGATTATCTCAAGAGGAACTCATTGAATGACGTCCTAAGTAATCGTCTTTTATCTTCACGGTTTTATGTTACTTTTGTTTACACACTTAGACGCTTCTCCTCAATTGGATCCATCTTATTACAATAACTTCCCTAAAGAAATTATTGGAGTACATGATCCATAAACTACTCCCCTGTTAACATTACGGTCCATAGTCTGTATTATATAGAACCATGTTACGGATCATGTACTCTCATAATTTTTCCAGGAATAGTATTGTTTAAAACGTTCTTTAACTATGTGTGAATTTAAAGTTTATTCAACCAATTCCTCCTTTTTTTGTCGACAAGTTTGTACGATTTTTCAGCAACATGTTTAAACATGTTTAAATGTGGCCAGGGTATTAAATTAATATTGGTGTTGTTTGCTGTTGTTGTTTTTGTTGTCAAAATTGCATTATATTATTTGGTTTATTTATTGTTACTGTTGTTGGGAAAACATTTAAATAAACCAATATATACATACACACACATAGAAAGTATAAAAATTAAAACATTTACAACCGTGTTCGGCATAAAGAGAACAAACTAGTTAAAAAATTTTGTTTCCCATTTATTACTATTTAACCATTTTCAATAATATTCATCTGATTGCTGTTAGCAGTGAAATGCTCTCTTCCCTCAGAGTCTTAGCAAAGCCGATCTCTGTTTTAGAGTGTGAGGCTTAATTGACGACAATTAACGTACAACATACTATATCGAACAGGAGATTTTTTTCCTCTCTCTATATACGACAGAGTTTTTGAAAGTTTTCGTAATTTTTTTCTATTGTTTCTGATATTTTGTTAAATTTTTTTTCAACCACCCTAATGTGTTTACCACTTTTTTTTTCGCTCACTTACGGCTGCTGCAGATGTTTTGTTACATGTTTTTATAATCCCCGATAATACAACTTCATTTCAATTGAATTAATTTTTTTTTTTTTTTGGTTTTTTTTTTTGTTATTCAATTTTCATTTTTGTATGCCACGCATTGTTGTGGCCATTAAACAATTTGTTGCTGTTGTTGTTATCGCAGGGAAAATATTTTGTGAAAAGGGTTTTGGACAGAGAGAGAGAAAAAAAAAACACAAAATACGATAAATAAATTTACATAATTTTTAGTTAAATTAAATAAATACATGCTAAATAAACATTAGATGCAGCCTAGATATGTAGTTATATTGAAAAAATTCCAATAAAATTCGAACTAAACTAAACAAAAACAAGTTTAGAGGGTTTTAATTGGCAATGACGAATCTTATATACCCTTTATCGAAGTGTCGTAAATTTCAATTGAATATCTGGAGGTGACTTTAGATCTATAAGATTTTATTGATTCGGATGTTTGATATACCATTTTTTGTTGTTGAATTGTATGATCTGGATTTAATCATAAGAAACATGTTCAGAGAAAAGCTATCTTGGGTCCACACAACTTGAGAGAGTGATAAATTTCTTTAAATCAATCACTCTGAAGAGTGATTATACAGAGGATGGGCTCAGTTATTGACTGGTTCCCATTTAATTGCGCACGCAAAAACTAAATCCGCTTACTAAAGTGTAAATATATTAGTAATGTGTATGTGTATTAGTAATTTAACTAGATTTTTGTAATAAACACTTTTGCTAAAATATTCACTATTCTAAAAAACAAGTATGAATCGAACTCAAATAAAGCCCATATTGGGATGAATTTAATC